AAAAAAAAAAAGAACAGAGAACTAATTCTAACACTAATAAGCTTGAAAAATTTGACAGTTGCCTCGAAAGCAAAGTTTAGTCCACAGCAACAATATTTTCATTTGTAAATAATTAATAAACAAATAAGTAGTAACATGTAGTCATCTTGTTGCCGTACCATCTCTATTTTAAGATTCAACTCTAATTTAATTGCATTTACCAATCAATTATTATAAAGTTACTAATGTTACTGCTCTTGAACTACTACTATCACTATTATACTGTTATACCGATTATTTGTTTTATCCATTACTATTATTATTATTAATCAATTATTAACATTAATATTAACAACACTAATATCAGCAGCAGCAGCAGCAGCAGCAGCAGTAGTAGTAGTAGTAGTAGTAGTAGTAATAGTAGTAGTAGCAGCAACAACAACAACAACAACAACAACAACAACAACAATAACGAAACCAACAACAACAACAACAACAACAACAACAACACCACCAACAACATCAACTACTACTACCGATCATACTTAACACTACTCCATTAGAGCACATACAAAAATTAAAAACAACTACACCACCAACATCAACTATTTCTGGTTATTCAAATTACTATAAATTATTGAAAGATAGCAACAAAAAAATAAAAATATAAATCAAAAAAAAAGTAACTGAAAACAGAAAATACTCTTCAGTTTTTTCTACGCTAATTATTTAAAATATGCTACAATAAATAAAAAAAAATAAAAAGAAAAGAAAACCAACTAGAACAATTGTGATGCAGTAAAAACCAAACATATTACTGCAAAACCTATCTTTGCATAAAAATAATAATGCTTTGAAGTGATAAAAGTAAAATGATGATCTATATTACCCAATGTTAATATCAGCTTTAAAAATTTTAGGCACTCAATACAGACATTATCACTACCACTAATGTTCCTCCAACTGCTGATAGAAGCTGTCCAAAAAACATTTGACAATTTAACAACTATCACTCTTTGTGCTAAAGCAGAAAAAAGTTCATACGTAATATTATTGTCAAATTATTCTACCTTCCTTTTTCCTAGTTCACACGCTAAATCCTTCTATTTTTATAGCATTATTGTATATCTTTCTAGTCTTTCCTCTTCCCCGCTCTCTCCTTCTCACCAAAAGAAAATCTTGATAAATTTATTATCAAAAATCACCACCTAAAGTAACCCATAAATAGCTGTTCAAAATAGCAACACTTACAAAAAAACTTTCATAAGTCATCAGGTACTATAATTTTATCACTTCAACAGCCTCATATATATCAACCACTGTGCATTTGTGTGTATCCGTGTGAGTGTCAGTGTATCATCAGTGCCTGTGTAATCGACTATACAACAACAATCACCATCGTCAATCAACCATAAAATTTTTCAAACATTTCAACTTTTCGATATATAAATAAAACCGTATTAATAAAGTAATCCCTTCACTCCCCTCCCACCCTTACCCCAGTCCGCCCAATATATACAGATAACTTTTGTCATAAAATTTTTAAAATTTCTTATTGAAAAATTGAAATTTTCTTGACTTGTTGAAACTTATCATCTTTACGCTATTAGACTTACCAACTAAAACAAAAAAAAGAAAAAAAAAAACA